TTTTTCTCTTTGTTTATTGTCTAGCCTTCTTCATGTTGTCCTTTTCCATCGGTTTGAGTCGACAAATGTTATACCTGTAAAAAGACAAATAATCTCGGAATAATCAGGGGTTAGACGACTTAATGAAATATAAAATCGATGAAAAGCATGGCAATTATACGATATGTTTTCTCGTTATCAAATCCCAGGTCCACCATATTACTTTGTATTATTTTTCAACAGGTAATTCAGTGTGAACTCAAGCGCGCAATACATGATACTCCCTCACTCAAATGCTTGCCAAATGGCCCCAGGCCAGATCTGGTGGTCCAGATGTGATGCCCATCATACTCTCAAGTCAACGTGCCACAGGGAATCAGGAAAGTCAACCAGGCCAATGGACAAATGGGCCTTGGAAATTGTTGAGTAAACCCCCTATACAGGCCCAAACCCTCACTCTCTCTATTTTTATTATTTTCTTTTAATTAATTAATTGTTATTATTTTTATTATTTAACTAACCAATTAAAACTTTTTCTTCATTAAAATTAAAAACCAAAAATATTTTGTTAATTAAATTAATTTCCAGCATTTTTATTTTTGTTAATAAATATTAATTGAATTAATTTAGTTTAATTAGGAAACAACTTTAATATCTTTTGCAATAATTAAAATTAATTTAGATAATTAGGTTTTATTAACTTTGATTAATTTATTTTTATTTCTTTAAATACTTAAAAACCCAAAAATATTTTTATTAATTTATTTATTAATTCAATAATTAGTTTAGTCTATTTTCTTTTAACTCAAAAATAAACCAAAAAATCTTTTTCTTTAATAAACAAAAGGGTCAAAACCCTAGAATACGCTCGATTTAATTTTCCCGCACGCGATCCATTTTTATTCAATATTTTATCTGTTTCCCGGAATGTAATAGTTTAATTAGGACTTTAAATATTTTTATCGCTTTATTTATTTTCCGCATTTTAATTTCAAGGGTTGTTTTTGGCGATGTAAATACCCGACGCCTTGTAATAGTTAGTTTTAATTTCCGCAATTTAATTTCCGCCACTTATAAACTGTTAGATGTTTGGTAATAGGGAATGCATGACAAGATCAAATGTTTAAACCTAAAATCAACATAGATAACCATTGACATGTACAAAGATAAAATTAACCGAAACAACACACTCGCACATGCGCACTCTTAGGGTACACCTCACTTGGTTGCCTTCGAACGTGGTCATTGAGTATAGGAAGTTTTAGAGGTCACCCTCTTGTCCAAAGATCATATTTGCCTCGAAACGGTTGCCTCGGAAAAATGATCTAAGACATTAGGGTTACCGCTAATGCGTCCTAACACTGCTTTAGTGACCGCACGTCCCTTAATCAAATTGACCCTTAAAACTCCAACGACGATGCTACCTACTAATCAATAGTGGGATAGCATTATCTAAAGGACATTAGTACAGATTGATCCCTTTTTCGAGTAGGTAGATGGTTCTTAAGTACTTGCTCTTTCCAAACAAAACAAAACTTTTCGCACTTACACCTTTCAAACAAAAAACTTCTTTCAAACCCACAAACATAAAGAAAAAGCAATTTTGAAAACACTTTGAGCAAGTACCTAAGAGCCTGTGGATAACCACAGATAGAAAGGGTGCTAACACCTTCCCTTTCTATAATCTACCCCCCAAACCCGAGAAATATCTCCAAAAGGAATTTTTCTGTGCTTTTTTCCTTTCCTTGTTGGATAAAATAAAAGACGGTGGCGACTCTTGCTTACCGCGACATTTTGCGAAAACAAACGCAAAACGCGAACCAACATTCCAAAAACAGTCAGTTCTCTCCCACCGTATCACACAAAGAAACTATAATTAATTGTTATTCAGATACTGATTGGTGTGGGGATAAAGAAGAGCGATGAATCACAACTGGGTATTCATTCGTAGTTGTTAATTTCTATTGTCATCATATTCATTCAACTATTTGTAGTCTAAATAATAAATAATCTTTACTAGTTTGGTATTTGTTAATTAATCCATGTGGATATAATAAATCTTTTATACTACTTATGCGATACAGTAAACTTGCTCTAAGTGTGTTTTTAGTGCAACAATGTCTGAGTGACCAGAGTTTTATAAATGCAAGATAGTAACTCCTAAGATACTAAGGAAACTCACACACACACATACACACACACACACACACACATGCACACACTTAAAGCCTCTTTTTTTAACTATCAAAGCTCTTAAAAATATTTTCAAAATTGAGCTAGTTGATTAGGATATTATCAGTTTCCTTTTAAAAGCATTTTTAAGCTACTGAATCAATTTCTACCTTAATCCAATCAATTGGAAAGATTTTTTGAACTGCCCAATCGATTAGGACCTTAAGCCCAATGATTAGAAGAAACCTGATTGTACCTGATCAGAAGGGATCGTCGATGGCCCATAAGCTTGGATTGAACAATGGTTGAAAGTGAAGTGGGGGGGGGGGGGAGGGGTACCTGCAAGACACTCTGATGCCAAAATAAGGTTCAAAGCAGAATGTAAGTATTGAAAGTATGAAGAATAATGTACTTGGCACTCTAATGAGAGGGTGTTTATAGCCCCTAGTGCTGGACCAAGATCTCCATTTGGGTTAAATTCCCAGGCCTGTAATGGAGACTACCAGGATCCTACGTGGGTAGGTGGGGCCGGTTTGTGGTCCCTATCATGGTTCAACTGCTCCGCGATTCTCATAGGTGAAGACCCGTTCTTTTCGGGAGTAGGATGACTCTGTATTATTTGAAGAAACATTGGTGTTCATGTCGGGCATGTGAAAATGATGCTTCTGTCGAGCATGTGTACATAATGCTCATGTCAAGCATGTAAACATGATGCTCTTGTAGGGGAAGTTGGAAGGAAGTCCCCGACAAGTACGTTGGGGAGGGATTCACTGTGTGCACATATCGAGGAAGACGTCTTTGACAGGGGCGTGAGGGAAGAGTCCCCAACGGTCATAATAGTGTGGGCCTTAGTATTGGGCCTTCTTCCTAGCAGAAGTGGATTAGGCTTTACCTTAAGTGCAGGCCCAGTCTAGAACATGAGCCTCCCAAGTCGTTGCTGCTAAGTAGAGGAGCTGTGAGTTAAAGTTAGTTCGTGTGTTGGAGAACCAATAATGTTGAGGATCTTCGCGGCTACCCTTGAGTTCATTGAGCCGTGTAAAGGAATCAATTACTCGGGCGTCAGCTTCTGGTCCAGCATATGCAAAGGGGGAACACGTTTGTCCAGATTAATAATCTTCCTCATAGAGGTGAAATGATCGTCCAGATTAACAATCCTCCTCGTGGAGAGGGGGATGAGATGTGGAAGCCATGGTCGGGAGTAGTGGTATACTTATGGAGGAGGAATTTTTTCTTTCCCGTCATCAGGGAGTGAAGAGTTTCTGTCGGTGTTTGTTAACTGGGCCATGTGTCACAACATTCAATGCATAATGATGGTCTAGGTGTAGGGGTCATTATGACCTAGGTGATTGGGAGGCTTCGCGTCGAGGTGATGTTTCGCCTTCTGTGCAGGGTTTATAAATAGGAGTTTAAAGATTCATTTGTTATTTTAACAATCCTTGCTCCCTCTCTCTCTCTCGCTTCTCTTTCTCCGATCAACCTCTAGTCGTTGTCGCCACCGTAGTTTCCTTCACACTCTCCAGAATGAACTCTCAACCAAGTAAGTTCCTTCCCTTTATCCATGATCTATTGAATCTTCATAACATGCATGTTCTTATACGAATTTCATGTTCAGGGAAGGTTTTCCCCACGATATTCATTGATTTTACCGTTTCTCCCCGCGAGATTCATGTGTTCCCTGTAGCGGTGAAAATCGGAGATCAAGCTATTGATTAACTTGACTCGCAAATAAGCAAGATTTGCCACCGCACTTTATTATTTCCAAGGAAAAAGGGAAAAGAGAGAAATAAAACCCTTAAATATGCAATGTAAAGTAATACTTAAAAGTAATGAAAATACAATGCGTTTTTTGAAAGAGATTGAAGGTTCGGGGGTTGGTTATACAAATGGAAGGTACTAGCACCCAATGCATCTGCGGTACTCCGCATGAACCTTTTGAAATATCTGTTTTTTGGTTAAAATTGTTTATTTGGTTAAAAAGGGTGTGAATGAGATTTGGAAGATACAACGACCTAATGTCGAAGTTTTGACTTAAAAAGGGGTATGAGTTTTAAAATTAAGTCTTTTAGAAAAATTTGTTTTAAGATTAAAAATATGAAGGATTTCACACAATCGTAACATATATATTTGATGACATGAAGTCAACCGATTTAACCATTTTCCCTTGGAATTTAAGCAATGAAAGCACAATAATCAAAGCACAAGCATTCACGGATCCATAAGAAAATAAATCTAAATAAACAAATAATGACAAAGAGGCAATGAGAAATTTAATTTAAAATGACAAAGACAATCAAATACAAATGAAAGAGAATCTAATTAAATAATTAACTAAAAATATTTTATTAAACTAAATTAAAATTCTAAGGTTACTAAATTAATTCTAAACATAAATCACAATTCTAAAAGATACTAAATTAATTCTAAATTTAAACTAATAATTTATCTAATTAATTATAACATGATCGTTTAGTTGCCCTCTAGAAAAAAATTAAACTAAAGAATTAAGATAATGAAATTAAGAAAATTATGAAACTAAACTAATAAAACGTGGGGTGTCAAGCGAATAAATGGAGTGGTAGAGTTAAAATGGTGGATGCTAAATAAACGTAGGCTTTAAATAGGATATAAGCCAATTACTAAAACTTAATATTCTAACCATGGTTTAACGAAGCAAATTAAAAAATAAAAAGAAATAAGTGATACTATCATATGGGCGGTGCATCTTTTGGCATTCTCTATGTTCATTTTATTTTTATCTCACCCAATTATATGGTGCCAAGTGGCAGAGTTACTTATAAATAAAAAAACAAATAATAACAAAACCAAGCATAACAAAACAGTAAGAGTGAGAAAACAAACCATACATACCTTCGAGAGAAATTAGAAACAAAACAAAGCACCTTTTGTATCTCCCAAACAACACATCTCGGGTCTTCTTCTTTCTCATCTCACCATATTCTTTCTCAAAAATCAAACAACAAATTCCCAGTCTTTCTCATCTCGTTTCTGATTTTCTTTTTGATTTCTGCCAACGGACCTATCGGATTCCCTCATATGGGATTCAAGAAGAGGTGTTTCTGTGATGATGGTAATTTCGGTGTTTGGATTGAACGTCGGTGATGCATTGTTGTTTACTTATGATGTTGTTGTCGCGTTTCTGATCTGCAGGCTCATTGTTATCGGTGTTGTGTGAATTGACGGTGAGGATGCGGTTGGAGGGGCGATAGAGATTCCTAGAAAGATCCAGCCAAGCTCCGGCGTGGTAGTACTCGCGAATGATGGTAATTATCGGTCTTCTGTTCAACTTTTCTTCTCTTCGTCTATTGCTTCTGATTTAAAAATTTGTAGGGTGGAAATTGATATATGTATACAGGTTTTGTACTGTCATTGTGAGGCAGGTTATGTATGCAGGTTTTGATAGTGTTTCTAAATGATTCTTGGTGTGTATATCCCTGTGATTCTTATGTTTTTCTATGTATGAAGTTGGAGCATTTTTTGTATGAGGTTTTTTTTGTGTTCTCTCCCCTGCGTATTGAATCAATTTTAAGACCTCCTTTCTCTGTTATGTTTTTTTTTCTATTTTATCTATCAGTAAAATTTTTCTCTGTTTTTCTCTATCAGTAAAATTTTTCTCTATTTTTCTCTATCAGTAAAATTTTTCTGTTTTTCTCTGTTACTAAGCATTGCACTTATAGCTGAGAGAGATGAAATTGGCATCAAAAGTGTAGGAGATTTTGAGGGGGGAAATGGATGGGATTTGAACACAATTAGTTAACTGTTTTTTAGCTTTCTCATGTAGCTTTTTCTTTGCTAATTCTGGGAAATATTTACAGGTTTTTAGACTGTTTATGGACTGGTTTTAGTACAGGGCAGCAGGGCTATGGATTGGCATTATTATGCAAGTTTTATGCAGATTGGACAAGGATAGGGCATTATTTGTGGACAACAAGGTTGATAAACTGTTGTGAACTGATTTTGGACAAGTTTGATGCATCATGAAGCAAAGCTTTGCCTTAGGAGCTTTGTAGGTTTAGGATTTGTCTTTTGTAACTTGTAATCAATATTTTGAATGTCTTGAAATTGCTCCTTTGTAACTTGGATGAAATTGAATCAAACTTGAATGAATACAATTTTTTTGGAACTTAACGAGTTTTGCATCGATTCTTATGACATGGAAGCAAAAGTCTTGAGTTATTTGATCTTGCAATTTTGAATAAAAAAATGGACTTGGAATGACAAATGTTTGAATGAATTTTGAATGATGAATGAACATATTGTATTTTCTCCTAGAATTCCAAACAAATTACGTGAATTAATCTTCAAAGCTGAACAAACTTGTATCATGAGAAATTAGTTCTTTTGTATATCTTGAATCCAAAAGCAAATTCATATGAATGAATTGCGCCTCGCACACTTGAATCGACTTGAAATCAAAAAGAATTATTCAAATTGATCCTCAAATCTTCTTCTTTAAAACCCATATCTTCAATTCGTGGTAACTTGCAATACGAGCTAATAATACAAATCGTGTCTTTAAGAAATTTGATCAACAATCCACCTTAATCCAACAATCGCTAATGTTCAATTGCAAATGACTTGAAGTAGGCAACAAGCAATCAAAGAATCATTAAACTAAAACTCTAGTTTCATGAATTATCCCAACATAAGAATCAAACGTCCTTTGAGAAAATGTATGTGGCATAAATTGAACCTAGAAATTAAAATCATCATTAGTCAAGTAATGACCTATAATGTTTCAGTGAATTTCATGGCTTCCCAAGCACAACTCAACCTAGATCTTTGAAGTAATCTCATAGACAACTCTATTTGTGATACTTCACAAAAAGAATCGCCTCGGGACATTGAAAATTGAAGAAGTTTTGACCCTTGAAAGTTGGACAAGAGTTTCTTGAGATTAGGTCAAATTTGCAAAATAACCTCTAAAGTATTCGAATTTTCGATGATCCTCCGCACACAATCAAACCTTGACTTGTAAAGAGAAATTGGAGATGAAGTCAAGGAGAGTCATACGCAAAAAGAACCACTCAATAATACATAATAATTAAGAAGTTATGATCGTTTGAACTTGAACTTGTAAGAGTCGAATTTTGGTCGAAGTGCTTCGAATCGTCTCACATAGCCTGATCTTTTCTTGCATTCTAAAGAATATTGATGCACATATGAACCAGTGACGATGGAATCTTGACTGTGGTTTAAGATTAAAGGCTAAACTTTGATGAAGTAGCCTTTGAGAATCAGTGATTCATCAAACTTGAACAATTGAGGGACCAAAAACCCTAACTGAGGCGCAATACCTGATGCTCTCGATTCAGACCTGTCTCTGCACACGAAACAAAAGAAACAAAACATTCACCTTTATATGTGATTATAAATTAGTGATACATAGGCTAAAAATGTTCAAAACACTTGACGATCTCTGCATAGGCAATGCTCGAAGGTGAGAGGTTAAAATTGACCGTATTTTGTGACCTTGATTTTTGTATAAAAATGCAAATGAAGATGGGATCTTAGGTTAAAAATTGGGGTATGACAGCTGCCCATATTTAAGTTTCTTCTATTCAGAGATATGAAGATTGAAATCTTCGTCTCGACGAGATTGAAGGGACTTAAATACAGAATACACAATTTTTGGCCTTAAGATACCACAATTGTGTTTATGATATGAATGTAATATTTTGAATTTTATGGGGAATGATGCCGCATGAGACAAACTACTGCTGGAAAAAACCAAGCATGTGATAAAATAATCCCATAGGGGAAGAGATTAAAACTCCATTGGAGAAACAAAGCCAAAGACTTCAAATGAGAGACTCTTATTGGGGAATAACTTTGAGAGAAGAAATTTTTTTGACTCTATCAGAGAAGACGCTTTGCATAGGGTGTGAAAAGATAAATGACTACGGACTTGTGATGATGGTAAATTTCCGAGTCAGAGTCAAAAGTAGAAAAATAAAAGATGCACAGACTTTTATCGAAGGTGAACTAACGAGCTTTACTAAAGGTGAAACAAAGATGCACCAACTTTTATTGGAGGTGAAATACCAACTTAGGGTTGATGGTAGAACAAGAAGCATAATACAAACTCAAAAACAACAGTGAATGTCAGCCTTGAGACTAGTAAGCGAATAATTGACATCAACACTAGGATTGGGAATGAAATGACTTACATCAGTACTGCAACTGGAGAAAGTAATGATTTGCATCAATAATGAGACTGGCAATATCATCATCAATACTGAGACTGGAGAAAGCTAAACTCTATTAGGGAAAAATCTAATGAGGAGAAAGAAGAAGATACTGACTAACAAACGAGTGAACTACCAACTCATAGAATAATAATAAGTTTCCCAAAATTCTAGCATTCCACCTAGAATGGGTCTCAACTTCTTCTGTGATCAAGATATCACTCGGAAGGATAATAAACTTCTCTAACTTCTGGATTTCGCCTAGAATGGAGAATAGTTTCTTCTTTATCCAAGATATTACTCGGAAAAGGTAATATACAAACTTCTCAGTGGGACTTTTTCGGAGAGATTCCATTTTTCGTCGATGAGCAAACTTCTCAAAAGAGATGCCATTTGCTGTTGAAAAAACATATTGTCGGGGATACATAAGCTGCTCAAATAAAGAGGCCTCTACCGACTTCCAAAGATATCAATAATGCACAAGCTGCTCATGAAGAGGCCGTCACTTGCTATCTTCCAAAGATATCAATAATACACAAGCTTCTTATGAAGAGTCTGCCACTTGATATATTCAAAGATATCAATAATACACAAGCTGCTCATGAAGAGTCTGCCACTTTCTATCTTCCAAATATATCAATAATACACAAGCTGCTCATGAAGAGTCAACCACTTACTATATTCCAAAGATATCAATAATACACAAGCTTCTCATGAAGAGTCCGCCATTTGCTGTCTTCTAAAGATATCAATAATACACAAGCTGCTCATGAAGTGTCTGCCACTTGCTATCTTCTAAAGATATCAATAATACACAAGTTGCTCATGAAGAGTCCTCCACTTGCTATATTCCAAAGATATCAATAATATACAAGCTGCTCATGAAGAGTCAGCCACTTGTTGTCTTCCAAAGATATTAATAATACACAAGTTACTCATGAAGAGTCTGCCACTTGCTGTCTTCCAAAGATATCAATAATACACAAGTTTCTCATGAAGGGTCTGCCACTTGCTATCTTCCAAAGATATCAATAATACACAAGCTGCTCATGAAGAGTCCGCCACTTACAATCTTCCAAAGATATCAATAATACACAAGTTGCTCATGAAGAGTCCACCACTTTTTATATTCCAAAGATATCAATAATACACAAGCTGTTCATGAAGAGTCTGTCACTTGCTGTCTCCCAAAGATATCAATAATACACAAGCTGCTCATGAAGAGTCCGCCACTTGCTATCTTCCAAAGATATCAATAAGACACAAGCTGCTCACGAAGAGTCCGCCACTTGCCGTCTTCTAGATATCAATAATACACAAGCTGCTCATGAAGAGTCATCCACTTGTTGTCATGTTGAGATTCCAAAAGAGTGTTGCAACAACACTACTGGGAAACAAAGTTCATCTTCAATGGGAAACCATGAATAGATTCTTCTTGAGGAGACCAAGTATTTAAATGTGCAAAATAAATGCACCCTCCATCTAGGTTTCACAACCTAGAGAGATGCGCGGGGTAGCGTCTACAAGAGACAAAGCTCAATCCAGGAATAAACTGAAGAGAAAATAGTCAAACAAGACTCCACCCAATGAGGAAATAACTCAATTGGGGATTTAGCTTATCCAGAGATGGAAAAGGAAAGCTAAAGCAAGATTCTTCCACGAGAGTTAACTCAGTGGGGAATTATAAAGGAGGCACACTTTCTGCTTAAGTCGACACTCTATTTAGAAAGAGAAAATACACTGTTTGAATAGACATAACCAAGGTATATGAACCCAATAACATCGACAAATATGAATGTGCATGTATGATGCAAGTGTGAATGAATAAACGAATGTCATGTATATGTTTGACAAAACAGATAGAAGAGATAAGATGGAGATGATAAGACATCAGAGTACAACCATATACTCGGCTAACCTCAACAAGATGAGATCATTACTGGAGATAGAATAAAAGTTATCTACGGAGCATATTTCTACTATAAGGCTCTAATCTCTCTGGGGAGGAAGATATTTTTGGGGAGAAAACCCAAAGTCCAATCTTCTAAAATCAATAATCCATTGAAAGGATAACAACACAAACTTCGCTTCAGCTGGAGAAAAATCTTGCTTAGCTGGAGATATTGGGGAACTCCACCATCTGACAATGTGTGCAAAGCAAGTCACATATTTTGACGAATCTGGATTTCCCCTGGAACTATATTTGGATGCCCCAAGTTTACTGTTGATAGACTGCATGATGCATGACAATTCTTGCGAATAACTTCACTTTTAAAATTCCCCAAGTTATATGGTTGATGAGAAGAAATTGTCTCAATAGGATTTTACAAAAGACCTGGCATCCAAAATGCTCTAGTGTCTTCAAACTCTTAGAGAGATTCGTCAAATTTTGAGGTGACTGCCCCATATTGACTATAT